TTGTTTTTATTTCATTTTAAATGAAAAAAATGAGGTAAATATAAGTAAAGGAACGAGATAATCAATAAAATTCATAAATTGAAAATCTTATCTAACTAATCATTAACATTTGGAATATCTAATATCTTTTCAAATTTTTAGTGGGAGATTATGCGTTTACGGTGCTAAGAGCAAATTTTTTTAATTACTTAAAAACTCTTTTTAGTGTGTTGGATCATAATTTCCCTTAGCTATTATATAATAGGCTCTAAAAAATATTATTAAAACCAAAAATGCTTGTCCTTATTCAAACTGTTGTTAAAATACATTCTTTATAATAAAAATGATTTTTAATTATATTTTCATTTTTCTAATTTTTTGCATCATTTTTCAAAAATTAATTTATTAATGTATATCAATCAACTCTTTTAAGCTGAATCCAGCAAAACAATTCATTGCATTCAAATAATAACAGGTTAAGATATATGTGACCTTTGGATATATATTAAACAGCCACAATTCTTTAATCATTAAAGAATATGAAATAAACGTATTTTCACTTTAAGCGCATGGTTAGTTAATCTATTTAATTCTGATAAAAAATTATTTGTTATTTCCCAATTATTTAATTGATCTAGAATAATTAAATAGATCAATGTAAAAAATAAAAATGAATATTTTCATTCGCGAGCCTAATATTTCCCAAGGTATATTTATTTGCTATAACGTTACAAATTAAAAAAACAATGACTTAGAACTTATTTTGCTATTATTTTGAATGAGATAAGCTTACAACTAATCCATGATTTAAGTGATAAACTTAATAAAAAAATATTTTAATAATTTGTTTTTATTTCATTTTAAATGAAAATAATGAGGTAAATATAAGTAAAGGAACGAGATAATCAATAAAATTCATAAATTGAATATAATATCTAATTAATCATTAAAATATACAATATTTAATATTTTTCAAATTTTTAGTTGGGAATTATGCGTTTAGGGTGTTAAGAGCAAATTTTTTTAATTACATAAATACTCTTTTTAGTGTGTTGGATCATAATTTCCCTTAGCTATTTTATAATATGCTCTAAAAAATATTATTAAAACCAAAAATTCTTGTCCTTATTCAAACTGTTGTTAAAATACATTCTTTATGATAAAAATAATTTTAAATTATATTTTCATTTTTCTAATTTTTTTGCATCATTTTTCAAAAATTAATTAATTAATGTCTATCAACTCTTTTAAGCTGAATCCAGCAAAACAATTCATTGCATTCAAATAATCACAAGTTAAGATATATGTGACCTTTGGATATATATTAAACCGCCACAATTCTTTAATCATTACAGAAATATGAAATAAATGTATTTTCACTTTAAGCGCATGGTTAGTTAATATATTTAATTCTGATAAAAAATTGTTTGTTATTTCCCAATTATTTAATTGATCTACAATAATTAAATAGATCAATGTAACAAATAAAAATGAATATTTTTATTCGGGAGCCTAATATTTCCCAAGGTATATTTATTTGCTATAACGTTACAAACTAAAAAAACAATGACTTAGAACTTATTTTGCTATTATTTTGAATGAGATAAGCTTACAACTAATTTATGATTTAAGTTTTAAATATTTTCTACTAATCCCAGTATTTTAATATGATGAACTTAATAAAAAAATATTTTAATAGTTTGTTTTTATTTCATTTTAAATGAAAAAAATGAGGTAAATATAAGTAAAGGAATGAGATAATCAATAAAATTCATAAATTGAATATCTTATCTAATTAATCATTAACATTTGCAATATCTAATATTTTTTCAAATTTTTAGTGGGGGATTATGCTTTTAGGGTGTTAAGAGCAAATTTTTTTAATTACATAAAAATTATTTTTAGTGTGTTGGATCATAATTTCCCTTAGCTATTTTATAATCGGCTCTAAAAAATATTATTAAAACCAAAGATGCTTGTTCTTATCAAA